CAGCGTGGCGGCCCTGGATCTCGCTCCTAGAGGCCTCTGTACCCCCACCTGACCCTCCTCATGTGGCCCTTTCCTACGACAGGGATAGTACTGATTGGTATGAGGAACTGTTAGCTGAGCAACTAGAAGGCCAGCAGTGGCAAGTTGCCTCTGAGAACTTATATGTGGGTCCCGAAGGGGTAGCCTCAGCCACACTGCTTACCCCAGAACAGCTGCCCTGGTACATGATGGGACAGGAAGCTGTCCCACATGTCTCTCTGGCCCTCCATCCCAAACACCAGGCCAAGGATTTGGGCCCGATGGTGAAACGGGCCGGGGAGGCTCAGGACTGGGTACAGACCCAGATCCCACAGATCTCCTGCAGTACTTATCGCATACAGGTCACAACACAGGACACAGCCCTCCTGCAACATGAGCAGATAGCTAGAGACCACGGGTGTGAAAAGATGGACCACCCGAAGGCGGCGGCCCTTCTGGCGTCTCTGCCAGACTCGCTGTGGTCCACCAGCCCCACAGATGTAGGTCTAATATCCTGCACGCCAGTGCAGTTCCAACTTCGATCAGGGGAGGGTCCCCTCTGGCTCAGACAGTACCCGCAGAAGTCGGCGGCGGAGGAAGGGATAGCTGAGACTATAGAGGGCCTCTTGCGGGCCGGGGTGTTAGAGCCCTCCACGTCTCAGTGGAACACCCCCATCCTCCCAGTGGCAAAACCCGGCACAGGCAAATATCGGATGACCCACAACTTGCGTGCCATAAACAACCTCCTGCTGACCTTGCAGATTGCAGATTGCTAGGACAGCAGTGACCTTCCTAGGACGAGTGCTGTCGGGGGCAGGAACAGGCCTCTCCCCAGCTCATCGGTCGGCGATCTTGCATTACCCAAAGCCCATCACGGTAAAAGACATGTTACCTATCCTAGGGCACACAGGTTACAGCCGCACCTACATTCCAGATTACACGGGGCTTACAAAGCCCCTGAGGGCGCTTGTCCGAGAACACGGCCTACGTAACCTCAGTGCGCACCTTAACTGGGACCAAGCATCGGAGGAGGCTTTTATCACCTTAAAGCAGAGGCTAGCACAAGAGACAAGGCCAGGACTATGTAACCTTGAAGGCAGAAAGACTGGGGGGAACCCAGTCAGCCCAGAGAGCCGAGGTGATAGCGGTTATAGAGGCCCTGAAATTAGCAGAAGGAAAAGAAGTTACCATATACTCAGACTCAGCATATGCTGTAGGCGCAGTGCATGTGGAAGTCAATGGCTGAGGGCAGGATTCTTGACTGCGGGAAACAAGCCAATAAAACACGAAGCAGAAATGAGAGAGCTGGCCGAAGCCTTGATGCTTCCCAAAAAAGTGGCAGTGGTCAAGTGCAAGGGACATGAAGGGTCAGGAACAATGGTAGCGAAAAGAAATCAGGCCTCTGATGAGGAAGCGAAGAGGGTCACAGGGTACGTGGTGTCCAAACAGATGGTCACGGTAGAGGAGGAAGTTCACCCGAATTACTCACTGACCCTAGAGAAAGTTCAGCACGAACAGGACAAGACCTCCCCGGAGGAAAAGACAATGTGGAGAGAAAAATGGGGGCCCAAGAAGGAGGGGCTATGGCAGAGTAAAGAAGGGAAGCCATCCCTTCCCCCAGGCCTTCACCAGACAATCTTGGCAGAAGCCCACGGGGTGGGTCATGCAGGGGTGAGACAAATGTTAGAGAATTTGACAGGGTGGTGGCATCCATTTATGAAAGAGATGGTGTGGGGATATGTACGGAGTTGCACTACCCGCGACCCACAGTAAAGCCTGAGAAAGGGCAGTTTCTAATGTGCACCAGGTCAGGGGAAGAAATCATTATAGATTATAC